TTCTTTCTTTCTTTCTTTCTTTCTTTCTTTCTTTCTTCTTCTTCTTCTTCTTCTTCTTCTTCTTCTTCTTCTTCTTCTCCTTTAATAAGTAAAGAAACAGGCTAGGATCTTGCAAGTGTCTTCAGAACCTATGGGCAATGGTGAACATGCCCCAGCATCACTTGCTTTTCTTCAATATTGTACCTTTTATATCAATTACAAATGGAGGAATAGTGCACAAACAAGGATGATAGGAGTGGGAAAGAAAAACAGAAAAGAACACAGAGTGTTATAGGAAATAAGGCAAAGTACAGAAGGCAATAAAATATAGTTGAGAGGAGTGCCTGGACAGAAATGTCTACATGTGATCAAAAGGTATATGGCCAAGTTGATCATCTGTATTGTGTTAATTTACTGTATTAAAAGTTGTACTTAATCACTTTTTACTCATTTGAATCTCCTTATATGATAATCTTATTATCTGTGTAGAGTTTGGAAGTTTCATTTTTTAAGAGTTTCATTTTTTAAAACTTAGGAAACAATTAAAATGGAGAGATTAAAGCAATTACTAACTTTAATTTTGGGGGCAACAAATATTTATTAATGTCCACATGCACTGGAGACAAACGGATTTAGGGAATAAATAAGAGCTCAGCATTCTAAGAAGCACAGGTAAAAATAAACCAAGAATTAAGGATAATGAAAATAAATACAATATGATTACAGCTGATTTTCACCTTGAGAAAGGGGTCACTGATTACTTTAGCATAGAATGGATACTAGCGATTATTGAGTGGTTTCTAGGGAAAGAACAATGATGGTGGAGGGTGGAGTAAGTGTTCTCACAGGAACTGACCCACTAGCAGGTTTCATGTAAGAAAATAAAGTAGCAAAAATAACTGGTGCCTTTTATATGCCTTATCAATAAAGAATAGATCTTCATATAAAATGTTAAGTAAGGCAAAATTATGTAGTATTAATGCAGACTTTCTTCACTTGCCCATTGAGAAGACCTCTCTTACAAGGCAAGAGAAAAATATTTTAATTGTTCTTTCAAGTGCACACTCTTAAATCTTAATCCAAATACAGATCAGTTCACTGGTAGTTATCCATCAAGTTATGGCTATAAGGATCAACTATTATATTAAGCCAATTATTAAAGGCAAACAACGTGGCCATATTTCAAAAGTGATCCTGGTATTTTGATAGTACAATAATCCTGTTTCCAACTCTTTACCCAGTTTCCAATGTTCGGGTGGACAGAAAATTTAGAGGATGCTGCGCCAGTCAACATTTCTCCCCATTCTGGGAGGAGGATTGAGGAAACCCACAAGTTCATAAGAACTTGTCTACCAGCATTCAGATCTCGAGAGTATGGCCGAGTGCAAAGCTGTATTCATGGAAACAAAGGTTCTTACCCTGCTGGACTGGGTGGTTGGAGACTTCGCTCCTTCAGACCCCATCACAAAGTATGTTAGTGAATAAATTCTTAAAGACAAAAGGTTTTCCTGCAACCCTTTTAATAAAAGCAAGGCTCTGGACTAACTGTCTGGAAACAAGGTGGGTGAGCTTTTAGAAATAAAAAGTAAATGCCTGACTGTTCTGAAAAACAGCATAAATAGCATATTTGGGTTTATACTATGCTAAATGTTGTGCTAGAACCTGTAAAGAAAATAGAAACTACCTTGTTTTTCATGGATAAGTATCATTTGAGTAGTTATATTGCAACAATGTGGTGACTGTAGGGGTCAAATAATCAGAGACTAGGCCCTTGTGACGAGCCACTCCTCCTTTCTTTCATTGTTTGCCTTCTCCACAAAGACAAACTGTGCAATTCTCTTTTTGTAAGTTAGATGATAATTCAGTGTATTTATACACTGTTTACTTTATTTAATAAATCATCATATCTAAGGATTTCCTAAATTAATGCTAAATAGAAAAAAGTAGGAAAGAGGTAAATATTTTCCTCCTGAATCTAATCTTTTATTAATCTGCATACATGTTATTCCAAATATATACATGTAGATCGCCACATATATATGTGCATAGAATGTATAAATACATATATATTATACATGAATGATTTATTACAGAAATATCAGTGTTTCTAGATTACACTGCATACTTGATGAGCTGTCATTAGTGCAGAAAGGATACATAGCTTTTCAACAAAAGAAAAGAATGAGGCTGCCAGAGTGTTGCAGTGGTTTGGGCTTTTTTTTTTTTTTTTCCAGCATCCATCCCTGCCAATCTCTGCACTGCCAGTAGGGAAAACCATATCCATGGCAACCAACCGTACCATTCCAACCCACATCAATGACGCCTCCAATCTAAACTGTCAAATATTCTATGCACATCATGTAAAATAGGTCTCTTTCCCCTTATACCTCTGTGCATCTCGTTTCCGTGGCTACATGTTTATGCAAATGAGAATTGTCCTTTCTCTCTCAGGTTGATTGAACACTGAATTTGTTTTGCACCTTGGCAATGCAAAGCCATGCTGTCTTGCCACCTGGTCTACCACATAATTGCAAAAAATTACATTATAATGATAACTGTCCCCAAATTAGCCTGATAACACCATCTACCTGCCTTGTGAGCGAAAGAAACAGTGTGCAATAAAGAAGGATGTTAAAACAGAGTCGAGATAGGGGAATAATGTTTAATTGGCTCTCCAGAGTCTACTAATTTTCAGAATTGGAAACCTAGTGTTTGATTTGTTCTTTTTAGTCAGTGAGAAGAAAAAATATCCTTCATAAATTCTGAATGACAAATTTGCCCATCCTTTTTTGCATGTGGTTCCAGCATCCCAGGGAATCTAAAGTGTCATTTCCTCTCTGGAAGAAAGGAAGCACAAAACAAGCTAGGTACGTACTCTAAATTTTCACTCAGTATCAGCTCCAGCTGTAAATTTCCCTCAATCCCTGTGTCTCCCTCATTCTTTTTCCCCAAACCCCTCAAAATCTTGGATCAATATCTTTCTGTTATAGTTAAGATGCAGGATTTTTATAGGATGGCACATATTAAAATTAGAATACCTAGAATAAAATTAGAATAAAATAAAGCTGGGAATCTAAAAGAATTGCCTTCTTTCCTTCCCCATCTCCTTGAATCTCTTGCTCCCCACATTATTATATCCTGCAAATAATTTTGTTGTGGTAGTGGTTAGTTTCTTTTTAAGAAAAATCACAATTAAGCATCTTGCAAATTATAAAAATGATCAATTCCCTTTTATTTCATTCATTTTTAATTATAACTTACATTGAAATGGTGACTTTGACTAAGGATATTTTTAATGCTAATTTTTCTACAAAAAAGGACATGACAGGTAAAAATGTAGTTTGTAGTATATTTCCCCAGGGTGTAAGTGACAAAATCAAAGATACTAAATTCTATTATGATAAATGTTGGGGATATTATTATTTCTCCCACTGCTTAATTCCTCTCTTTCTGCAAAACAAATACTTCACTATTATTTTTTTAAACAGGAACAATTTTATACAATTCATGAGATTTTTGTCTCCGACTGATCTTTTGAACTTTGTTTATAAAGAGTCTGAGTCACCTTTGAGTAGATTAGGGAGACACAAAGGTTACAAAGATGGACAAAGTCTTTTTTTTTTTTAATTTAATAGATCATCTGTAAATGTGTCCTGGCCAAAAATAAAAAGTACAAAATTTCCAAAGCCAGAGCTGTAACCATCTTTTCTCCCATCTCTTTCTTCAAACTCTACATACCTTTTAGGTATTAGCTGAAGCCCCACTTTCTCCCTGACTAAGATCACAAAGTGATGACTTCCTTCTCTGATCTCTTGGCTCAATGAGTGCTGCCTTTTCAGCATTTCATTAGATGCCATTTCCTCCAGTCTGACTTGTCTCTGACACAATTGTAAACCCTGGGGCAGAGTTGGAGGAAAATAAATTCATATAATTCTTTTGTCTTTTCAATCCTTAAAGTGAATATTTTGCTCAGTTAAATTGAATATCAAGTCTTGATTGTTGCTGGGTTTTAGGCTGAGACATTTAGGCAGTGAAAAGCTAATAAATATGCCTCAGGTCATGGCAGAAGAGAAATCAACTTTTAGTGGTGTTCACTATTGTTCAAGAAATCATGTCAAATGTTTTACATAGGCAACAATAATCTGTTCCTCATTATAATTTACTTTTAAGTAGCAAATTATATTTTTCAAAAGCAATAATATTTGAAAGAGAGGACATGATGTCCTTAAAAATTCTGTTTGATTGTTATATCCCCACCAATAATGTTGTTTCCTGAACACTGCTCTTGCTTCTTTGGGGAATTACTAAGGAAGTGGAAGACCCGATTTTATAAAGATTACGTTCGAATAAGGTGATAAATACATGTAAACACAGGTGATGCAAATTAAACACCGTGGCTCAGTATCAATTATGACTGTTAATATCACCATCTAGTCGATTTATGAAATGTAATATATAAATTTCTAAGTGTTTTGGAAGGCTAAAAAAATGATCATTGATGTCATGTCCTAGAAATACAGTATGGATGAACAGCTTAAGTCAGATTTACCTGAGGAGGACAAATATTTAAGGACCTGACTTCCATAAGGTCAATTTTTTTAAAACCTAGGGTTTGTGAATTTGAACTTTCTTCACTCATTCTCAATATTGGAACTCCTCATTCTTCTAAATAGCCTTTTTTTCTGGGCAGAAGAAACTTGCTTTTAGAGTTTTACTCTATTGGGGAATCACTTGCTGAATCCGCCCTATTTCTCTTTGACTTTGCCTGTGCACGTAAACTGAAATGGAGGTACAAGTTGGCATTTATTTGCAAAGTATAAGGGCCCAAAAAGTTTGTTTGAGTCCCACAGGTGAAAAAGAAGAGAGTTTATGCAAATGACTAGAAATTGCCTTCATTCTCTTATCTACTTTTTGTATCTACACAGTTAATACTATCTAGATTTCTCCCCTAAAGAGATCTTTTTCATGGAATCGTTACAGAGAAAAATAAACTAACAAAATCCAAGAGTCTGTCAACCACAAGTACCTACTAACTTGTGAGGTGATAATACTATTATCAAATAAATAATAATCACAAATTCTTATGAGACTCTATGTTCAAAGCACTATTTTAAGCACTTTGCATAACCTAAATCATTTAATATGCATGAGAGCTTTATAAATTAGGTACAGTTATTTATTTTGTTTTACAGATGAGAAAACTGAGGCATATAGGGGTCCTCAAAATTACACAGCTGGGAACTAGATCTCCAAGACTAGATGACCTTGCTGTAAAGTCTCTAAAGTCTTAACCTTTTCATTTCTATGCCGTATGACCTTTCAAGAAATATTTTTATTTTCAATGATCACAATAAAATTTTATCAGTAAAAAAATCTCTTGAAATTATGATATCCCCAAAATTCAATCATCATAACTCAAATTCCTTTTCATTTAATCTTTCAAAACATGAAATGGAAATTTCTCTTGGGGAGAAGAAACCTTTCTGAGAGATTTCAAAATTGGAAACATTACTTTTAATGCCAGCAATGATTTAGAAGACTCATGGTGATTTTTAAAATATCCAGATACAAGTTCACTCAGTGAGTCATATAGTTAATAAGTGCCACCACTGATCTTGGCTCGCAGGATCCAGCAGGGAACCAAAGAAAGCTCATGCCCTCATGGGACTCACACTCTAGTGAGAGGAGAGATTAGAGAAAAATTGAATAGGATAGGATAGGATAGAATAGAATAGAATAGAATAGAATAGAATAGAAAGAATAGAATAGGGGTGGCTGGATAGTTCAGTCAGTTAATTGTCTGACTCTTGATTTTGGCTCAGGTCATGATCTCATTAATGGTGAGATTGAGCCTGCAGTGGGGCTCTCTGCTGGGAGTTGGAGCCTGCTTAAGGTTCTCTCTTTCTCTCTCTCTCTCTTATTCCCTCTACCTCTTCCCAGCTCACTCTCTTTCTCTCTCTATATCTCAAACAAATAAAAAAGAATAGAATGCAATGTAGTACAATACAATAGAAAACAGAGAGTAAGAAGTGCTATAGAGAAAAATTAAATAGGATAAGGGTATATGGAACGAGGAAAAGGAGGCTGCTCCTCTAACAGGCCGGAAATGGTGTTTTGGTACAGTGACATTTGAGCAGAAATCTGAAGGAAGTAAGGAGGGAGCCCAGAGTTTAGAAATTGGCTGGCTGCGGTAAAGGATTGTTAGAATGGCTGAAAAGTCTAAAGGAGAAATTGCTGCAGGAGATGCCATCAGTGAGGAAGCAGATGGTCAGATCATGGAGAATTGTAGGAAATTTTTACATACTCTTCCTTTTACTCTGAGAGAGACAGGAATACCTCCAAGCATTTTCAGCAGAGGAATGATAGGAACTGACTTCTTTTATAAAAGGATCACACTGACTCAGAGTGAAATCTGGAATGTAGGATTGGGTAAGATCCTGGAGCCCCGTTCCAGAGGCTGCTGTATCATCCAGAACAGTAAGTGATGGTGGCTTGTACCAGGATGGCAGGAGATGACTTGGGAGGAGAGATTTCAAAGTTGTAAACTTCAAGATTCTATAGTATATTAGATGTGGAGTGTGAAAACTTGAGGCATCAAGGATGACTCTATTCCATCACAAAATGAAATGGAAAGTTTTATGCTTAGCTAAAAATTATAGGTAAAAACTAAATATTTGAAATTAGTTAAAACCTATAAAACAGTTAAAATTCTTCTCGGACTCTCTGAATTTGTTAGATGCTCATTTTAAAACCATTATTGGTCATTACTTCTTAATTGCCAGTATGTTTTCAGTGCTATCCAACCCTTTGTTGAAGATGACTTGATGGATTAGCAAAATTTTCTAACTTAGAAACAACAGTTCTTCTCCCCAATACCTTTTTTTCTCATCTTCCAAATCTCAGATGTTCTCCCCTTTTGTCCTATTTCTTACACTGTTCTCTCTTAGTCTTTTTTGCCAGCTCCTCTTCCTTGGCATTTCAACTCCAGTTCTTTCTTTGTATTTTGTTATAGGCCATCTTTTTATATCAGTCTGTAACTCTACTTGGACCAGCTGCGCCCCTAGAAAAGCTTTTGTTATTATCTAAGTCCTGATGGCACTGAATTTTTAGTCTTGTACTGTTCAGTATGGTAGCTACATGCTTCTAGTGGTTGTATGCCGCTATACCATCTATATATACGATAGTGGTACTAATAGCTAAGAGTGGAAACATAAGTAATAGTGGTAGGATTACAATCCTACTGAATCCTATACATGCTATGTGTAACCATATATATATTGCATATGTTGTTTAAAATATGTTTTTTCCTGTACATACATACCTATGATAAAGTTTAACTTATAAATTAGGTGCAGTGAGATATTAATAATAATGAAAAATAAAGGAGAACAATTATAACTATACACTACAATAAAAGTTATGTGAATGTGGTCTCTTTCTCTCAAAATATCTTGTTGTCCTGTACTCACCCTTCTTGTGATGGTGTGAGATGATAAAAAGCCTACATGATGAGACAAAGTGAGGTGAATGACGTAAGCATTGGGACATAGCATTTGGCTACTAGTGACCTTCTGATGACAGGTCAGAAGGGGTGTCATTTATTTCTGGACTGCAGTTGATAACAGGTAACTAAAGCTATTGAAAATGAAACTTTGGATAGGGAGACTACTGTATAATAAATGTGACATTTAAAATCGGTAAGGAAAACGTACAATTTGATAAAAAATTGTTGTGGCAAGTACAACAAGTTAACCACTTGGCAAGAATAAATTTAAATATGTAACCCACACCTTAAAATAAAATTAATTCTCTAAATGAATTGAATATAAGTATATAATAAAATGTAAAACTACTAGAAGGAAATACAAGTGCATATGTACAGGTGAAGAAAGCCCTTTCAATCAAGACTCAGAGCAAAAATTCAAAGATCTAAATAATTAAATATTTTAAGACATTTGTGTGGGGAAAAGTACCATAATCCAAGTGAAAAAGCAAATGACAGACAAGGAAAAATATATAACTATGAGTGACAGAAAAAGGTTGATGTCTGATGTAGAAATCTTACAAACTAGTAATAAAAAGAACATATAACAGGCAAGGTACAATAATCAGAAATATAAATGATAATAGGTGATGAAAAATATTTCATCTTACTAGTAATCATAACCATGGACAAAAAGGCTAGATATCCTCTCTTTTCTCATCAATTATCAGGCTGTCAAAGAGTTAAAGAAGGAAAATGCTCAGTGTGGTTCCCTGAAAAGAAATGGGCTCTCACAAATTGCTGACTGGAGTAAAATTAGTAGAAACTTTGTACAGTGTAGTTGGAAGCAATGTATTTAATTCAGAAATTCCACTTCTAAATTTCTTTTTCAATAATCATAGAGATTCATAAAGATAGAAATGTGAAGATATATATTACAATATTATTATAATGGGGAAAATCTGAAAATAATTTAAATATACAGTTATAGGTTATCACTTGAATAACGTATATATCCATAAAATGGAATTCTATTCAATAATTACAAATGATGGGGTCAACCTATATTGATCAATATGTAGTATGTTGATGATATGTTGGTAAATGCAACATATCCAAAAAATGTCATACTATGATCCCACTTTAAAGATACATATATTTCACCCATGAACATTGAAAATAACATATAAAATATTGTTCAAAATGCTACTAGTGGTTACATACTATTAGCAGAAATATAACTAATAGCAGTTATGGTAGTAGGCTTATGGGTAATTTTTTTCTGCTTGCTTTTATTTTTTTGCATCTATTTTCTACATAAATATGAATAATTTAAATAACTTTAAAATGCAAGAAACAAATACATTTATTTAAATATCGTGATTATTAGCAATGCTAGAAGCCTTAGACCAGATGCTATGTTTATGTCATAAGAGCTCACTTGTGCCACATTTCTTCTCTACCTCCTGACACAGTGACATCTCATGTCCAGAATCTCCACAGAACATCTATGTAGGTGCTTGTATTGGAGCCCACAGACTTCAGTCCAACTCTGCAGAAAGCGAGTGCTGCCCTGCTGTCCCTAGGACAACATAGTAGTATTGGCATTGGGTGCCTGAGTTCAGAGGAGACTGTTCTTAATCCCTTACAAAAGCGTTCACTGGGATTTCCGTGCACTCTTGAGACAGCCTCGTCCTCCTTGTGCTAGGAAGATGGTTTGGTTTCAAGTTCTTTATTCTAAAATAATTATTATGTTTATCTTTAGAACTTTGTTCTAAAACAATTATTAAAAACAATAAGAGTTTTGGGGTGCCTGGGTGGCTCAGTCGATGAAGTGGCCAACTTCAGCTCAGGTCATGATCTCAGGGTTTGTGAGTTCGAGCTCCATGTCGGGCTCTGTGCTGACAGCTCAGAGCCTGGAGCCTGCTTCCGATTCTGTGTCTCCCTTTGTCTGCCCCACCCCCTCTCACGCTCTGTGTCTGACTCTCAAAGTAAGTAAACATTATAAAAAATTAAAAACAAACAAAACCAATAAGAGTTTTGCTCATTTGAATAGCAGCTCCCATTTATTTTTCAAGGATTCTTGTAAACTATGTTGGCTGCTGTCATCTTCTTGCAGGTTAGGAAAATAAGATTCAGAGATTTTACATGATTTTTTTCAAGGTGGCAGCAGGAGGATTCAAACTTGGTTATTTTTCTTTAGAATCTGAAGATCTAATTTATTTTATCACATAGCTCTCTACACCTGTCACTGAAAGCCAGAGACTTTAACTAGCAAGAAGAGAAAAACCAAACACTTGTGGTTTTAAATTTTAATTGATGAGAAATTATAAATGATTACTTCATAAAATATTTTCCAACTTTATTTTTATTTTACAATGAGGAATAGCATAAAAGAGAAGATAAAGGGAAGGTAATCTTTAAATTCTGTAAAGAGACTATTTTCTGAAAGCTATTTCTTGCCCAAGATTTTTTTTTTTAATTACTGGGCAAATAAAACTGGAATAAATACACTGTGAAATCTACTGATTTATATGTGTTACAGATGGTGTACTAGAAAGAAAACACTAAATTTGAGGAAAATATATATGACAATGCTGCAAATTATATCACCTATCTAATTCATCTAGTATTCTTCAAATGTAAATTATCATTATATTTTAAAAACAATCATATAGCTTATATCTTAAAAGCTAAAAGAAAGGTGGAAAATGGTCTAAATGTTTCTAAATCAAAGGTTTAGAGCTCTTTATAAAAGTGTAATTTGGTGTAATATTTTTCTGATGCTGAATGAACCTCCTAATGCATTAATATCCAACCAGAAACAATGTCATGCTCTATGAACATCATTGTCAAAGTGTCCAATCAATTTGTTTGTATTATGAATCATCCCCTATTCCTGTTGGTTTTCTGCGCATCAACATTCAACTAATGGGCTCAAAGTCCATGTTACATATGTTAATCTGAAACTCTTCTGTATACAACCTCTGCAGAAATAACTGAAAAGGAGAGCATATCGGTCATATTACTTTCATGTTTGAAACCTAACAGTTGCACACTCCAGGTCAATGCCAAATGGAGATTTTTCTAGTAGGTAATATAACTTTTCATTGCAAATTGGATCTGGCATGTGCTCTTGCAAATAGTCACATTTTTTTTTCTTGATTCATTCTTAAATTAGTTGTCAATGCAAGGTCAATAGTGACTTCTTCATGTCCTCCAGCTATGGGGATTGGTCCACAGCCTGCTGAAATGCTGATCAATTTTACATTATTTCATTTGTCTTCTTCATATTTACAAAAGTTCATTGGCATACAGACCCATGGGTCTGCATACTGTTTTTTAATGAGTTATAAACAGTTGTCCTCATTAAAATAATATGTTTTAGAATATTTGAAAAAGAAAAGGAAAAATCACACAGTTACCACAGCAACACAACCATTATTTGTATTTATTATCTTCTAGTCTTTTTTATTAATGAATCTTTAAAAACCATTTTATATTTTTTTAAAAATGTGTCTTATCTTTATTTCTGTTTGGCTTGTAGATACACATAATTGCAGGAATCATAATCCTAGGTTCATGACAACATTCTCATTAGTGGTTCAAGCATGTACTTATTTGTAGTACTATAAAATCCCTCAGAAATTCACTCCATCCTCCCAAAAACTATGAGTTCGACAACAACTACACTGTACATTGTGTCTCCCAGCCCTCACCTACCTTTCCCCCCCAGAAGTGTCATTCAGAACTCTATTGTTACTGTTCCCTTACTTCATATGTATGAAAAATATATAATATATATATATATACATTGCATACATATTATATACATTATAAATATATGTAATGGTGGTATATGTATACATCTATATAAATTGTAAATTGTATCTATATGTGATCCTAAAAACTATATATTTTATTTCTGACGTTATAAAAAGCTTAGTATACTGCATGTGGTCTTTTGGAATCTACTTTCTTTAATAATCTTAGTACTAAGACTTATTCATAAGGTTGTCTGTCATTCTATGGCATTTGTTATGACTCTGTATAACAAACCACAGTGCACATGCCACACTTTTTTTTTTATCTGTTCTCACTTGGATGGACATTTAGGTTGCCATTGTTATAGTCTTCATAACTATCAGTTTTAGTAGCTTCGTGGTGTTCCATCAATTTTCTTAATCAGTTCTCCATTTTTTTAAATTTAGTTGCATCTAATGCTTTGCTGTACTGGTCAAGGTTGAAGTGAGCACCTTTGTATGAATAGATTTTCTACACTAAATATTATACCTAACATAACTAGAAATGGAATTATTAAGTTGAAAGATATGAACATAATAAATATTTCTAATTTGCATCTCGAAGAATAACTCCATCAGCAATTGTACAATTACCAGGTTGCCATAAGCACGGACTTATTCCTTTTTGATTGTTAATTTAAGAGAGAGTTCTGTTTTGTTTTTAGGCTTCACTGACTTCAATCAATATTGACATATTATAGAACCTCAGATCTGGAACCTTATCTTCTGATCTGGTAATTTTCATTTGAGGAGAAAAGGCATTAAGGTAAGCCAATACAAAGGTAAAGATTACTAGTAAAATAATGACTCATAGCCTGGCTTGAAAGTCTAGTTTCAAATTCTGAATGGAATACGTTGTCAATGAGTGTTACTTATTCTTACTAGAGTGATCCTCAACTCAGAAATGATGAAGCTGAAGCTCAAAAACAAAAAAGGAGGGACTTACCCACAACTTATATAGCAAATTTTCTGTCACATTATATTGCTTTACAACTCATCAAAAAGAACGTAGACCATCCAAACTTTGATCTCATTTTCATTCTGAGTGAACTCTTTTCCACATTCCTGTAGGATTTATAATCCTGGTTTTGTAATGTAGTTAGTGCTTGAAGATGCTCCTATCATTGTTGCTCTTTTTCATGAAAAGTACTCTTTTCTTGCTGATTCTTCTCCCTCCAATTTATCCTTTATAATAGGTTGCCCCATGCTAGGTCTGGCATAGTTCATTAATACAGACTGGCTGAGCCGGCCTGTTGGAAGTTAAAGTCTTTCTACATTGGAGACACTTGCCTACCATTCCTCTAAATAAAAGACTTATAGATTACATAGTTTTGATATCTCATTTTCAACAGACTCCTTTTTTTTAATATTCTCTATGTTCAATAATATTAATATTGATTACAGTTTTCATGACCATGTGGCATAATGTGCATTGCAGTGCTTGTCTAATTTTTGTAAATTCCTGCTGTGATTTTTATGCCCTAGGAACGATCACATTACTTGGCCAATGGAAACAGTAACAGAATTTTTTTTTTTTTTTTTAGGCTCACGCAGGATGAGAACACTTGCCAGCACTCATATAGCACACTGGCTCTCTCTTCTCAATAACCACAACCACAGACAATTGTCGCTCAGCCTGATTCATCCCTAACAAAGCAAACACATATTTAACTCTTGGTCTTGATGACTAAAGTCAGCGATTTTACTCATCATAACTGCATGTTCCCACCCTTTCCTCCATGCCTGCAATCTGCATCTGAATTGCCCGGTGATTACTTTCCTCAGTTCATTTTGCCCACTCTTATAAACAGTTGCCAATCTTTTTGGCCCAGTGCAAAAATAGACCCCTGGATGGGTTTTTCGTTGTGTGTCCGAATACTGGACAAGTCTGTAAAAACAAATTCATATTTTCACTCTTGTCTTATTTCTCCCAACCTCAGCCTGGAACAAATAGCTTTCCCTAGGTTTTATTAAAAAGGAGTATGACAATATATAACATATTCTCTTTTTTTCTCCTTCTGATAGAGCAGTTTCTTTGACTATAGAAAGATGAATTTCACACATTTATCAGATAAAAGATTCTTAGCCCCTCTTCCTCCATAACTTAACTACAGCATACAACTGTTTTAGTTAGTAAAACCCTTTCCTGTGTTAAATGCATCCTTTCTTCACAGCCCTGACAGTTTATGCATTTCCTTGGAACGTGGGTTGATTTTATGTGCACAAAAAGTGGACGCTGAGCTCTTTAACACACTCTTCTCAATGGTAAGCGTACTCTGCACTGTAACACATAATGCATTTTCTCAAGGACTTTTTCTGTATTTTGAAAACAAGAACTGAAGGTATTTGGTAGATGTGGAACCTGATTCACAGAAAACTGAAATAATCAACTTGAGCTCAAACAGGCAGTGCCTGGGCAAGTTTGATCAGAACCTTGACCTTTTAACTCTCTATTTTGCTTTAACATTATGTAGAATCTTTTTTTTTCATCCAGCTAGAAAGAAAAAGAAAGAAAAAGCTTTAACAGACATTTGAGAATGAACTGTTACCTCTTACTCGTCTTGATATATAAACCCTTGACTGTCAATGCTAAACAAGAAAATATCAAGGGAAGAAATTCAGTTATATTGAAATACCATCCACAAACACCATAACAAGAAATGTAGACTTAAACAGGTAAATTCTGGTAGCTATGAACTTTTGAATGAATTATGTGAGTTAAAAGTTAATTTTGATACTGGCTGGATCTTAAAACATATTTCTCATTGAAATTATGTGTATCTGCTAAATATGTTCTTGGGAAAGAATGAAAAAAAAAGCCTATTTAATGCAAAATGGACTTGAACAATTGTAATAGTAGTACTATTTCAACTATGCCTCACATGTTTCAGTGGGAGAAAACATGTCAAGCTCTGGACTTTCACACCCAGACCACTTCAAAAGCATATGTGACTGATTCCGGTGGTAGCAGGAGATGCACAGGGAGCAGACTAAATGACAGACAAACTGAAGATGGGAGCAGGTTTCAAAACCAGTTTCTTAATTCTACATCTCTACAGGATAAATGACATTTTTCTGTCTGCAGAAAGGATGTCAGACGGTCCTTGGGTTCCCGAAATTGAAAAAGAATGAGAAGTTATTCTCTAGCAAGTGGAGGTCTGAATGCAGACCATCCCTCATTCTATGTGTAGACCTGCATTGTATGCGAGAGAGCGGTCTTTCTGATGGTGGCCCAAGACCCAAGATAACACATAGGAAAGAAAAGCAATTGAGGAGGGAGGAAACACATGGCAGGTGGAGTCTGGATAAGGAATACCTTAATTTGTAGAAAACACACCACTAGTAGTCATAGTGAGGAAGAAAAATATGTCCAATGATGTATCCTACTCAAGCCATACCTGTAGTATATAATTGGAAAAATGGGATTTGATTCTTGGTTTCCATAGCTCTGAAAGGAGGATATTAAATTCAATGATTTCTTGAGGACTTCTCAGCTTTAAAATGCTATCTTGTACTGTCAGCATGCATACACAGTACACTTGTGTGGCTGGAGGTGGGCAACGAGAACCTGGCAGAGGCCTATGGTTGGAAAATGAAGACTTGAGAAGAAAGTGACGGTAGCAACCAGAGCCCAGGGAAATGAAACAGAACCCAAGGTGGAGAGTGGGAGTTGGAGCTGAGGTAGAGGCCATGTTCCAAGACCATGCTTTTTAAACTGCTTCTAGTTTCTCTGGCACCAAGTGTCTGTGTATTAAGCAAGACCACCTTAAACACTTTGTGTCTGGTCAGGATTTAGCCTGGAGATTATGGTAGAAAGAAGTCATTATCAGCCATAGCATCACATCTTGTGGTGACAGAGATTTTGAAGCTATTCATAATCTTTTATTTTAACTTGGATTAATGCTATTTTGGTTTTGACTTCCCCTTTCCTGTCACCCCAGGGAAAATTACTACCACAGTAAGTCATTATTTCTGACGAAAATAAGCCGTAGCCTTTGGATGTCATGGGGTGAGGATAGGGTTGACAGTTATGGTCACGTTGGGAGAAGAAGAGAAGGCATACAGTGACAGACCGGGCATAACCTAAAAAATATATTGACCATCTGATTGTTTTAAGCTGGATATTGTATTAGATTATATGGTCTATCTTGAATGGAGTTAGCCTTAAATTTTTTTTGCTGTTAAATAAAGGTGCATACTATCCAAAGGATTAGAAGTAGCCATTATAATACTATTGGCAATAATTTCTTGTTTTTATCCATGGCCTTGAAACATAGGAATACACTGATATATTATGTCCTTAAGTCTTCTGATGTTTCCCCTCAGTTCATGTTGATTTTGCAGACATGACTTTAGAAAATATTTTGTACACCACTAAGATAAGCAAGACAATTATTTATAAAAATTGGCTGCATTGTTCCACCTATAATATTCTTCAGCAGGTAGATGATTTTCTACCAAGTAAAATTAAGATTTTAGAGATTTAAAGAAAAGAATGACATAACTTGTTACTAAACAAGTGCTGAGAGTAATCATATTACAAAGAAGCAGAAAAGATAAACCAACATGGAAACACATTTTCCTTTAGAATCTATATAACTGATAAGAAGTTTTCTGGTTCCTATTAAATGGTTGAGAAGCTTCCATGGCATATTCGTGGACAATGATACTTATGCTTTAAGTAGCTGAGCCTCATATTTAAAAGAAAAGAAAACAAAGTTTTAATAATGGGTAAAGTAGATCAAAGTTTCACTAACATCTGAAATATGGCCATAGACTTTCAAGAGACAATCACGTCTACCATAAATGAGTAGGAAAGACATTTAATAGGGACAAAAGTAATTTTTCTCCTAAATTAGTTGTTAGAAATTTCAACTCCAATGGAATCTCACAGAAGCTACAATATTAAGAGAGATTTATGTCAACTATACTTCATAAGAAAAAAGAGAGAGATTTGGAATAGAAGTTAGAAATATGAAGCTAAATTATAAAATGGGGTTCAATTATAAAATGGGGTACTTAAACATGACAAATGTAAGGGCAAAGATTCTTAAATAAAAAGTTGTAATAAGTTAGATGTGAATTTTCAGTGCAGTGTGAGAATCAAATTACCATAAATTTGGATATTGAGTCTACATGAAGGAGAAAATTACACTAATATTTATTAAGAACCTAAAGTAAGTATGGTACTACTAGGTCTTTACATGTTTATTCAGTTAAAAAAAATTTTTTTTTACATTTATTTATTTTTGAGACAGAGACAGAGCATGAACGGGGGGAGGGCCAGAGAGAGAGAGGGAGACACAGAATCCGAAGCAGGCTCCAGGCTCTGAGCTGTCAGCACAGAGCCTGATGCGGGGCTCAAACTCACAGATTGCGAGATCATGACCTGAGCCAAAGTCGGACGCTCAACCGACTGAGCCACCCAGGCGCCCCTTTTTAGTTCAGTTTTAATTCTCACAGATCAATATTAATATTGACAATATGGCAGACAAAAACACTGAGGGCCTAAGAAACCAAATTTGTTTAAAGTCATATACTTAGTCCTTCTGGTTGCATGAAACAGTCCTCCAAATCTGTGATATGCACAGGACAAAACTACATTGCTCATGTCTTCTTGTAGGCATCATATTCCTTGAAATATTTGATGTTTATCATTTGAAAAGATGAATATTCCATCTATTAAATAAGATTTTTCTTCAAAACAAGAGCCATGTTTTGCCATTTGACCTTGGGCAAGTTGCATTATGGGTATGGAGGATGCTGTGCTTCAGTTTCCTCATCTATAAAATGGTCATACTAGTAGAACCTACCCAGAGGGCTGCTATGAGAGTGAAATGACATAAGGTATGTTAGGTGCCTTGAAAAGGGATTGACACACAAGAAATGATTAATACATTATCATTTACCATTATGATTATATTTCAGATATGTCATCAGTTTAAATAATTCTCTTTAAATTATAGGGAAAAGAAGAGGGGGTTTAAATAAAACACTCATGCTACTTGCTCTTGTAAACGTTAAACCTCTCAAGAGAAAAGTTAGGTCTTCGTCTCAGAGTGCCTGAGTGTAGTCCCTGGGAGTGATTGATATGGTGGAGCCAATCATTCTATTTCAGGTCCTCACTGGCCCAGATAATCAAGACTTTGGAAGATTTAAGACTAGATAGCAAATCATGAAGTACTAAGTGAACACACTGCAAATATTCAAAATTGAAAAAATGATCCAGTAATTGTATCATGTTTACTTTAAAGTATTAAACAGGTTTTGAACACTTTAAACTTATTTCTACATTAACTTCATTAATGCCTAAGCTGGATGCAAATGGCAATGTTACTCTCACAGGGAAACAGCTTCTTTGTACTTGTTTGTGAAAGCATTTTGAGAAGTTGAAAGTAATGTATGATCATAGGAAAGTGCCAAACCAGGAAGCAATGATGTTTTCTACATGGTAAATCCTGAACACTATAACCCTGTAAAAAATGACGGTAAATATGTGATATAAATAGATTTATGGAGTCTGATTGGAAAGTAGAAAGTTTCAAATAAGATTATCTATGTGTTTCTAGGATCGCCTTACAAGCAAAGGTATCTTAGGACACCTGGGAAAAACGGGATAGAAGTTTCCTGATCATTTTGCTTGTAGGTCCTATGTACTAAGGGAGAGCCCATTGGCCCTCATTCTTTGTTTTTGTTTTTTGTTTTTCTCTTGATTTCAACTACCTGTTTCCGGTCTGTACATAAAAGGGAAAGGAAGATAAAAGACTTGAAATAGATTGGCCAGAGTATCTATGAGGTATTTGTGTGTGTTTTATTTAAATGCAACAAAAAATTATGATATATATTAACTTTCAAACAATTAAACTCATGTCTTTTGACCTTCATTCAACAAAAAGCTGTTAGTCTCACATCATGAGGATAATTTAATAGAAGCAATGGCTTGGAAGAGGGAGGAATTTTAAGTAAAGGAAGTGAGTTCTTTTTTTGCTGTCATGGAAGGAGGAAGATGAGAGGCATGAATGGGAGACAGCGGTTCAGCTTTGATGACGTACACCTTCAGACAATCTGTGTTATTAAAAATAACATTTGGAAATATTAAAGTGGTAGTTCTTTGAGATGGCTACAAAGCTAATGTTTACTGTAATTAATGATTTAAACATTTATGAAAAACACTGTTAGCAATTCATAAGAATCTGAGTGATGAAACTTGGAATGGGGAGCTAGATATTTTTAGCAATCACTTCCATGAAAAAGATAATCAACTTGAAAAAAAATGACAAAAGCAACAAAATGTGTCTCTGTCTTCCCAGTTCTGCATTGGAAGCAAACAGCTCTGCTTCTCTTAGGGGTGTTATCAGAAGCCCTGTCTTGCCTTTGCTCCAGAGAGCTACCAACTTGCTTCTCACATGAGATGGCTCCATAATCCAAGCCATTTATAGAGGAAAAATGATGAAGTTATCAACTCTTTTAACGTGATCATTTCCAAATGTTTTTATTGATTACTGAAGACAAGCCATCTCCCTTTTTTCACAGAAGAAAATTTCAATTCCTCATTACAGCTCAGCTAAGAGAACAGAGACTGCCTTGTCACTAGTCTTTTATTGCATTCATGAGATGTGTTGCATCCCTAACAACAACCGA